GGGCAGTGCCCTATGGCTCAGTGAGTAGGGTACCGGCCCCATACACCAAGGGTGGCGGATTCAAACCCAGCCCCGGCCAAACTGCAACAACAAAAAAATAGCCAGGCATTGTGGCAGGCACCTGTGGTCCCAGCTACTTGGGAAGCTGAGGCAAGACAATCACCTAAGCCCAAGAGCGGGAGGTTGCTGTGAGCTGTGGCGTCTACCAAGGGTGACACTCTACTAAGGGTGACAAAAGTGAGACTCTGTCTCTAAAAAAAAAAGGAAGTGCTTCTCATAATTCGAGATGCTAAGTTCTTATTTACTGTAAGAACATCTGTACATTAAAACACCAAAGGCCAATCTCATTGCTATAGGTAACTTCATAAATGTACACTATTTTTATATGTTTAGCATAATCTGCAACTGAGTGGATGAAATTATGACTTCCAGTCACTGAAATAAAAATATGAGAAATTACTTATGTATTTTAACAAATGGTCAGTGCTTTTAATCACTACTTGCCATTGAAGACTTAAGACTAAAAACACTGGGTAAAATGGTACAGCCACTATGGAAAACAGTATGGTAATTCCTCAAAAAATAAAACACAGAATTATCATACGATCCAGCAATTCCAATTATTGAGATAAACCCAAAAGAAGTAAAAACATGGGCTTATAACATAATTGTACCCCATGTTCGTAGCAGCATTAGTCACAATAGCCAAAAAGGGGGAAGTAATCCAAGTACCCATTGCTAAATGAATGTATAAACAAAATATAAGCAGATACAATGAACTATTCAGCCTTAAAAAGGAAGGAAATTCTGATGCATGATATAACATGGATGACCCTTAAAGATGTTAAGTGAAATAAGCCAGTCACAAAAGGACAAATATTATATTCAAACAGATAAGCCAGGTATGATGGCTCATTCCTATAATCCCACACTACTCAGGAGGCTGAGGCAGAAAAATACTTGAGCCCAGGAGTTCAAGACCAGCCTGGGCAACATAGTGAGTCTCCATCTCCTAAAAAAAAATTTCACACCCATAGCTCAGTGGTTAGGCCGCTGGCCACATACACCAAGGCTGGCAGATTCAAACCCAGCCCCAGGCCTGCTAAACAACAATGACAACTATAACAAAAAAATGGCCACACATTGTGGTGGATGCCTATAGTCCCAGCTACTTGGGAGGCTGAGGCAAGAGAATCACTTAAATCCAAGAGTTAAAGTTGCTATGAGCTGA